GTCTTGTACCCTTAAAAATAAAGCTCACGAGCTTTTCGAGTTAGGTATTGTAGACACCCGTTTTATCCGGGTTTTAAAAAAAATCAGCCGCTGAGTTATCCCGAGTCAAGCAATCACAGATTACATCATCACCTACGTCAAAAGCCACTACATCAACAAAAACAAATTAATCACCGAATATCACCAAAGTCAAAAAAAAAAGAAAAAAAAACATTTTAAATCCCATAAAATCCGGGATTTTACATACTCCAAAGAAATCATCACATGCAACAACCATTATAAAAGGAGGAGGGATTCGGACTTGAAGAAAGAGGAAAGAAAGCCGAAAACAAAAAAAAGAGAGAGGAGAGAACTTACCCTCGTCGGAGCTTCCACACGTCGTCGGAAAATCGAAACATCGAATGTATCTTTTTTAGATCTAGAGAGTTTGGGGAATTTTTAGGAAAAACGGAGGCTAGATTCGGGTTTAATGGGATTTGGGCTTCGATTTAGGCTATTTTGATATTTTTTGGCCACCACCGGTCACGCTGGTCGGCCGTTGACCGGTTTCCCTCCGGTGAGGGAAAACTAGAGAGAATGCAGAGAGAAATTTAAACTTTCTCTCTTAGAGAGAGAAAGAAAATGAAAAATGAATGGGTTTAGGCATAAAGGGTCAGGTTAAAGGCTATAAACACCCTTTTCAAAATTATCTCGTTTTGGGGAGAGATCTCTGTGTAATTTCAAGAGTGTATAAACCTTTTCCGCAAACCTCTGCTTTTGTAATTTTTATATTTTAACCATTGAATTTAATTTTCAGTATTTTAATTTAGATTTCGAATTTTATTAAGTTTACATTTTAGTCAGTAATTTTAGTTTTTATTTGAATATGGCCTAAGAATTTATGCATTTTTATTTTGGTCGTGTAAATTATTTTTCTTTTATTTTAGTCTTTTAATTGTGAAATAATTTTATTTTAATCAGTCTTTTACTTGATATTTTGAAATTATTATTATTTCCTAAATTTTATATTTATTTTATAAATTAATATTTTATTATTTTTATATTAACTTTTTCTTAACTTTTATTTTTATTTTTTTGTGACGTTATTTTACCTTATTATTATTATTTTTAATTTAACTTCTTAAAATTATTTCTTTTTGTTTTGCATTTAATATTTTATTTTACCATCTAATATTTTGTTTGATTTTTCGTTTAGTGGTAATTTCAATCGATAAAAGGTAAGTAATTCGAATTAAATTTTAAATTTCAATTTAAATTTTAATTTTCGCAATTAAGACAACCGACAAATTAAATGGTACTGAAAGGGAGTTCAAGGGTGCTAATCCTTCTTTGACTGTAACCGACTCCCGAACTCGTTTTAATCGAATCTTTGTAAACGCATACTAATTTTTTGTCTTAAAAATAATTTTTCTTAAATTTGTTTTTAAAATACGTTTTTAGGTATTCGACCTACCTAACCCAAAGGCCGATGGCGACTCTTTTTCAATTTAATCCAATTTAATTTCAAAATCCCTAATTTTTTAAAACTAAAGTATTTGCTTTTAAAACAATAAATAATTGTTCTACCCGAAAAATGGTTATGACATGTATCAAATAGCTCGTTTCGACTCGTTAAGAACTCGAGTTGAGTCGATTCCATTCGAACGTTAACCACATTTTGACTTAATCGAACTTAAATAGCTCGCCATCCGTCATTTACATCCCCATACGGAGGACCTATGCATAAGTTGTTCACAGCATGCATGCTTAATAATTCCATTTTGCAGGGAAGATTTAGAAAATTACACTTGTAAGATGAGAATGGTGACAGAGATTGTTTCGAAATCGATGGCTAAGTCGCTGGGGCTGGAGGAAAATTGTTTGGTGGATGAATTCGGGGAACGAGCGGCGTTGCAGGCCAGGTTGAACTATTACCCGTGTTGTCCAAGGCCAGAAATTGTTCTTGGCTTGAAACCTCATGCAGATGGCACCGGTTACACCATAATCTTGCAAGATGAAGTTGAAGGCCTTCAAATTCTCCAAAATCAGCATTGGTTTACAGTCCCCACTCTACCTGATGCACTCCTCATCCTCATGGGTGATCAAATGGAGGTATTTACACGTATGTATGCATACTTACATCTTATAACTTTGTTACATCCCCGCTAAAGGTCCTATGCATATCAATACCTTACGGTTATCAGAGAATCTTAAAATATTTCAGATCCTCTGACCACAAAAAAACTGCGGAGGATCTGCCGACGGAAATGAACTTGAAATATCTAACATCCTTGGGAGAATAATGATTAGTTACTGCTGCTGATAGGCCTAATGGCCTGCTATGTACCCTATCAAAATCAAATCAACCATCATCTAATCATATCCACTTAGTATGTTTACCTACGAGTAGTGATTATACTCCTACAACTGACACATGTAATGATAAGTTCCTATATAATCTCTCGACGATGGAGAGATGAGATGCGGTCTCAAATGAAACCACATCAACTTAACCTTTTTATGTTCTATCTCTTCATGGAGATGGAACATTTGGATAATAACCAAATGTCGATTTTGCACCGATTACAGCTCTCTATCTGAATCAAAGGGGGTGAACGGTGAATAACCGTCATAATCCATTTGGTTTCAGCAATAAACTTATATGCCACATGCTGATCGCAATGCCTTGAACAGTATTAAGAAACAAGAAATGAACACGAACTCGATAATAATCATTATAACTTGTGAAAGTGATGTGAATGGTTAAGTTTGATGTTTAGCAGATAATGACAATATTCAAGAGCCCGGTTCATAGGGTAGTAAACCACATGGAGAAGGAGAGGACGTCGATTGCAGTCTTCTACACCCCACAGAAACACAAAGAGATCGGACCCTTAGATGGTCTGGTGAATGAGGGAACACCACCGCTATTCAACAAGGTTCAAGATTATGAAATCACACATTGGGAGTATTACCAGAGAGGGATGAGAGCTCTTCATACCGCGCGAGTTTAAATTACGTGTTGTATATTTATGTTTTGCATGTATGCAAGGTCTCTATGCTTCCCTTTATAGTAGTTACTTAGTATCGTGGTCTAGAGGGTGAAAACAAGTATCTTATGAGGTGAAAAACTATGTTTGTGCTGTGGTGTTTATCGTTGACGAAAAAGGCATGGGTTTTTTATATTTTAAATGTATTTTAACGAAGTTTATAAATTTGAAGTGTTCAGTTATGTGTTTTGCTGTCGGAACATTGACCATTGCATACAGTATTATTATTATTATTTGATTAAGCTAAATAGATTACGAAATAATATTGTTCTAAATACTTTCAACAATGAACGTTCAATCATCCTGCTGCAGTATTGACTATAGATTTATTCTCACAAACCAAAAGTTGAGTTACCGAACTTTAATGGCAGGAGAATCCTAGAGGTTGGGTGAGCAAATATCATAAATATTTCTCTATTTTTGATGTCCCTAAAAATCAGAAATTAGAGATTGTTGCAATGTGTCTGGTGGGTAGGGCTGAAACTTGGTTTGATGGTGATATTATGCAAAAACAATGATTTCATTTGCATGTGTTTGCTGCAGTTATTTGTCATAGATTTTCTGATAGTGATCATAATGCACTATTGAGGAATTTAATAAGTTAACTCAGAGGGGGACTGTGGAAGAGTATCAAGACAAGTTTGAGGAGCTCAAGTCATTTATGTTGCAACATAGTCCTTTCCTGGTGGAAGGTTACTTTGTTTAAAGCTTTCTTAGTGGCTTGAAAGAAGAAATTAAGCATCGGGTCAAAGCTCATGACCTAAATCTTTAGCTGTTGCTTTCAAATTGGCTAAATTATAGGAGTTAACATGTGAAGTGGAAAAGTTGAAGCTCAAATGCTCTCCTAAAGTAAACTCTAATGGGCAAAGTCTCTATTATAAGCCCCTCAGCCCTATCATGTAGGTACCTTAGAGAAGTAATCAGCCGAACAGTGGCCAAAATAGGCGACCTTATCTCGAGTATAGGAGGACACATGGATTATGCTATAAATGTGGGGATGAGTGTACCCCTAGTCACCAATGTAGGATGAAACAATTGAACTCCATGGAGGAACTAGAAATGTTAGAAGGGGAGTCGAGTTGAAACAAGCTACTCCTCTGGCTATTACCTTGGCAACTGGTGAAAGATTGTATAGCACAGCTAAGAGCAAAAACTTGAAAAGGGGTAAGCATGATTTCAGAGTTATAGCTATGGGAGAAAGCGATATGGTCCTAGGTGCGGACTGGATGAAAAAATTTAGTCCCTTACTGATGGATTTTAATGATATGAGACTCTGTTTCATTGAAGATGGGCAACGGATTATCTTGAAAACGGGACAACCCAGTGCTACTGTGTAGATAGTAACAAGCAGCAAGATGCAGAAATTAGTGGCCAAGGATCCCGAGTTGATAGGGGCAATTTATATGCTGGATGGGGTGGTTAGTGAAAAGGAAGTTCCCTAAGAGATCCAGCAGCTGTTAATGTAATTTGTTTTGGTGTTGATAATATACAGTTAATTAAATATACTATTTATATATAATATTAGAAGAATTTAATGATAGCTGCCCAAAAGTATTAGTTGTTTGTTTCGTAAATATTATCCTAGCCGATACTTCCTTTTATTCTTGCGATAAAAAGTAGCAATATAATCAACAACAAATATTTTAAAATAATATGAACAATAATAACTTTTAAAATGATTTCAGTATTAAAATATCTTAATTGGATTACAGCGTTTTGGTTTGAATTCAAATTGGATCAAATTGTACATTGACAGGTCCGGATGTCATATCCTACTGATAACATAAGACACACAATTCCTAGTAGCATAAAGGTTGTTCTCCTCAGAAGACTCGAGTTCGAGAATGCAGCTTTAAGGTATGTTTTGTCAACTCAAACAGCAGCTACGAGTGTATGTTATCAATAGACTTAAGAAAAAATTTAAATAAATATTAACTTATAATCACTTCTAATTATTAAAAGAAATAACAGTGAAAAAGTCAAACTTTAATCGATAAATACTGATAAAAAGTTGATACTTTGCTACATGAGCCCCCATCGTTGATAAACAATTCTAGTGTTTCAAATATACAAATAGAAGGCAGCAGAAAGAGAAAATTACAGAACACTGATTGTGAGATCTCTCTTTAAAAGGAAAACAAAAGAAGAAATTTGGTATGGTAACAAGCTGGAAGCACAAAAATACTGGCGAGAGAACGATGGGAAGTTCATTTCGACGACACTCCCTGATTGGGAACTTCTCAAACTGCCTAGTGGAGCCAAGGCAACCAAAAGTATAATAGGAAAACCTACCTGCCTAGACCTACTCATCACTTATCTCAACATTACCATCCTTGAGATGCAAGTGCTTTTCTCTTTTCTGGAAATCCGTCAACCCCTTTCCGCTTCCGGTCACACCAACCTTGCCCTGAGGATCATCCGGTGACTTGAATATGCTCTCGCGCTTACGTCCCGAGAAAAAACCAACCTGTCAATGGAATTAATATATCTCGGTCTAAATATTAAATAATTTGTTCTCGATTATCAGTAAACAAAAAAACATGTAAAGGGGGCCATCCTTTGGCAGGTAAAAACCTCCTCCAGGCAGTTTGACCATTTTTCCTTGTCCACCAAAAAGGACCATGGGGTTACAATCTTTCAAAATTGGGAAATATTATAAAATACTTGCCAAACAGACCTTTTTAGTCTTGCCTTTGGTTGTCTGAAACTGCTGCCAAGCGTTCTGCCGCTTATTTTGTGCCACTTCAAGTTGTTCAAATCGCATCTTTGACTTGAAAGCATGTATCTTCTTACGTTTGGTAGCTTTCTATGAACCAAGGCAAGAAATCAAGCAAGTCAGTACAAAATATGCTTCTGCCAAATTTTAAATAAAAGGTCATATATAAAAAGGATTTGATTGAAAATACAGCATTCGGAAATCACAAGCAGAAAGTAAATGCATTACTAGCTCTAGAATTTTCAAGAGTATCAACTGTAGCTCTTTTTAAATGTACACCATAAATTTAAATCAATCCATACAGGATAACCAAATACCATTATCCTTAAACTTGCACGTTGAAAGAGAACCTTAGGAACATCAAAAGTCTATAAACATGAAAATAAAGTGAATTTGAGATCCCCTCTGCAAAATCTGAAAGTTGCATGGAAGCAACATAGAGTATCTTACCACATCCTCCGGGTCATCAGAAGCTATTTGAAGCTTTGCAGGTAAACTTCGAGATTGAAAGTCAAAAGAAGCAGCATGTGCAATCTTACGTTTGATAGCTTGTTTTGTAGCTTCAGCAGCCTTCTCAGCTTCCAGCAAAGCATTGTATTCATTCGCCCTTACATTAGCAGGATCCACCTGGGATTGAAATTGAATACAGTAAAAGAATGTACTTATGGTATTGACAAGTAGCAGAAAACATAAACTGTGTCGTTTTGGTCCAAAAAAACCAATTTTATCACATAACTTGGATCCAAAGAAAGGAAAATTCAGGGAATGAAACTTGAATCAAATAAAATAAGCCCCTGGAGACACTGCTAAAATTTACTCATTCTCTTCAGCACTCCCAAGCCAATTTTCCACCTTTCATGTTTTACCTTTTTATCTCCACAACATTTTCTAACTTATCAATAAGCAAAACTACACTTTTTTTTTCATTCAAATTTTGACTTGTGTTAAGTTGTTTCTAAATAATTTGTGGATCTTGTTTTCTAGAATAAATTTTGAGTTGATTCTTTTGTTTAGTACAAATTAGTTCCAACCAAGGCAAAGCACTACTACAGAGCTGAACTCAGATAAATTGCAAGCAAGATTGGAGCACATACTCAAACTCAGTCAGTAATATGAGACAATTTAGAGGCATAGTAAAATACAGATTGGCTATATTTATTACATCTCTACCTGACAACCCCCCCGCCCTTCTTTTCTTCATAAAAACGTCAAACCCTGTCAAGAATTTCAAATTTTATGTTGTTAGGGAAACTAATGCAATAGTGTAAGATGTTGTGCAAGCACAAGCATCTTACACTATTCCTCTTTTTTTGTGTGTATGTGCGCGCACAGGCACACTAAACTTCCAACAGCACAATTTCCTCCAATAAAGCCAACATGGAATTGCCAATTTTATTTATATAAAGAACACATAATTGGAGTTCTATTAAATCTATTCATGTAAGATCTCATGGCAATCAGAATATTACCTCTTCCTTGTTTCCCCATCCATCAAAAGAGACATAATACCCATTTACTGTAATAGCCTCAATAGTTGCATCATACCTAAATATAAAACAAATCCAACAGAGAACAGTAGTTAAAAGATATGCAAGGGGAAGAAACTATTGACAAAAATAAAACATATCCGTTTCTAAGCATACCACTCTCCATCTTCACTCCAGACAGCCTGAACTTTTGTGCCAACAGGAAATTTATCCTCATAATCTGATGTTTTCACTGTTTCCTAGATAAAAGAAAAGAATTTATCAGATACTAGTGACTAATAGTATATAAAGAGAACTCATGCACCAGAAAGAATATACATTGAAAGAATGATTCAGGTTTCCTTCTTGACTAAAATGAATTTTCCAATTCAAGCACGTAATGAACTAAAACCAAGGAAATGTTTGACATTAGGAAGTTCAATTACAGCAAAAAAAAATATGTTTTTCAATTAGTTGTCCCAACTACACAATCTTATGCTACCAGTGCCTGCCACTGTTCTGACAATCAAGAACTCCTTGCATTAAATACATTCATATGACAGGATTAGTTATGTGACAAAATTGGGTAGTAATCTGTGACATCTCACACACATACATTTACAAAAATTGTAAAAAAGGAAATAAAGTTTCCATTTCAATTCAGAATCTTGCCTTTGGGAATAAAGTATTCTCTCTGAAATAAAAAATTAACTACAAAAGGAAATCAATGATTCATTAGGCAATTTAATCACCTTCATTTGTGCACCGGGTGCACTAATGCTAGCACCAATATCTGATCCAGAAATCTCATTTTCCTTTGCAGTTGCAAGCAGTTCCTCTGTAAGAGCAATCACCTGCATGCCAAAGTTTCAGCCCAAGCATACATCTAAACAAGCTTATATATTTAGTAAAACAATAAAGGGTGAATTTTATCATATTTCGAACTTAGAATCTCAAGATGAACATCGCAAATCAGGTGGATGAGCAGAAGGCTGGCCATCGCGACACATATTACACCTGCAAAGGAATCAATATCACAGTGATGTGCATCTTGCCAATGCTATATATTTCAGAAATTTCTTTTTCTTGTTAAAGTTCACATTCTGCAGCTGTGAACTCTTTTAATATATGAACCACTCTCACCTTTTCAACCCTGAAATGAAAACAAAACCTCCAGTAGAACCATTACCATTAGCGGTTAATCGATGTTGCTTCTTTGAGCAACGTGTTGATTCCTTCAAAAGAGGGAAGGAGGAGAAATGAAATTTTCATCACCTTATCAAAAAACTTCACATCTAAGAAAAAACTCCCACAACCTAAAACTGATATTTTGATCACTTTCAGGTGTCGGTATGTGTGTGATCCATTTCCAAACAGAATGACAGTATTGTAACCATGACATGACAAAACAGGGTAAAGAACAAACAAGAAAAGAAGATCAAGTCCAATAAAAATAAAATGTAAGAACAAACACAAAGAAAATAATCATAAGACTCACCTCAACGAGTTCCTTTTGCATGTCCACGTATTCAACGTTTCCAGGATCATCAGCCAGAAGCTGCGTAACCTGATTTTTACCAAAATCAGCTAATTAGTCGGGTTTTGCAAGTCCTGTCGAATAAAATTAAATTCTTCCAAATTTTCGTCAAGCAAGGTTAGTCATAAAATGACTCTTTTAACATCATAGTAACAAAACAAAAATTGTTCACTCGAAAACAATAAGTCTAGTCCAATCACATACTTGGGTCGTTTATATGTTTAATTCATCAGAAATTTTCTTTTTTTGTTACAAACTAAAGCTAATTGCGAGTATTAAGTAGAAAATTCAAAAAGATAAAGAAAAGAAAATTTCGAAACCTGCTGATGCTGTTCCTTATACGTAGAGAGATTTGAAGCCAGATCATCTATGCTTAGTTCATTTGTTCCTTCCATCGTGTGGTTTCGTTTCCCCAAAAATTTTCAATTTTGCTCTCGGAGTTTTTGAAGATCTCCTTTACTTTTTCTTAGGGTTTTAGTTTAAATTTGGCTATTCGCGATTCGGGGCTGAAGTTTTGGAAAACTTATTTAAATACTCTGTTTTTATGGATAAACTACAAGTGGTCACTAATACTTTTGAATTATAACAGATCAGTGATTTGATGCTAACCGTGAAAGAATATTGATGTGACACGTTATCTGTCAACTGTACCACCATGCAGGACCATCCTTTGACTCTTCTAAACCAACAGATTACTAATTGAAAAGACATTGTCAGCCAGATTCAAAGGAATTTTGTTCAATTTTCTTCTACAAACAATTATGATGCGATCATCCACACCCAAAAGGAAATTCGTATTATAAAAAATCTCTGGTTAATAAAGAACGTTTTAAACGGTGAACGGAACAAATTGTAAACAAGCAAGAATTGAATTGTGATCATATATATTTTATTTTTCCTTCTCTGTTTGTTCCTTAAAAAGAATCTCTCTTTGATTTCTCTCTCTAGATAGCTCATGGCTTCCTGCATCGCTCTCATTTCCATTTCAGGTTTTTCATTTCTTTTTATCCGAATTAACTTTTTGCTTATCATGCTTCAAGTTCACTAATTATGCTCTGCTAGACTGTGAAAGTGAATTTTAGGAATATAAATATATTCTTATTAGGTTGTCGTGTAATTTTAAGAACAACTTGCACTATTTCATTTCATGACATGGATTATAGTAAATATTTTGTTAGGCTCTCTAATCTGAAATTGCTTCAATTTTTCTGCACTTGCAGATGTGAGGATGTTAACATCCCATTATTGAAAAACTTTTGAGTCTTGTCGTCGTCGAGTTTGTCATTTGGCACTTTCTTCCGAAATTTTGAAATTCTACTTCTGTTGTTTCTGTTGTTTCTTCAAGTTAATACAGAATCCTAGTGAATTCCTTGTGACTTTTCCGAGAGCCTACCATGTAAGATTCAACCATGGTAATTTCTTCATGGGTAACTTTTAGCTTTATGACCTTTAAGGTGTTGATGCTCCACCAGTTAGGGACCACCAACTGTTGCAGAGTGAGCTTTGCAACATTTTTTGTGGTGGTTGTGTTATGGTATTCATCACTTGAAGAAGATAGAAGAACATTGATAAAAAAAAATGGAAATGGAGTCAAAATCGTGGTAAAATCATATCATGTCATCGATTTAACGTGCCACTCCAACTTTCCATCTCTTATGTTAGCAATTGTTAATGTCAAGAGGTATTTGTTACAAATAGATAACATCAGTAACCAATTTTTGAAATTTTAATCAGAAGTAAAAAATATACTCAAATATTGAACTAGGTTAACGTTTCCAAGCGTCTTCTAATACAAGTTGAGATAAAATAATAGCATTTAACGCTAATTGATATCTGAAAATAAAATAAAATAACAAGAAATTTAATAATACTACGAACAATATATCAAATAAATATCTTAACGATAAGTATTTCACACAAAACCTTTTTTATAAGTCAATATAGATGGATATAATAGAAACACACATCACCCAAATAAAAAAGGGACTTAAAAATCTTATGCTTGATGAATGTTCACAAGGGAACAGATAAGAAACCATGGCTTTGTGAAGTACAATGCCATGCAAATTCAAATTCACCAAAGAATTCTTTAAAACCTGTAGGAATGGTTTTCCATGTCTAGTATTTCGTTTGTTAAAGCAATGAATTGAGTAAAAATAGTTAATAGGTAACGATAGCATAATTTAGTTATCGATTATGCTTTTAAATTTGAGTAAGCAAGCCAATGCTTGCTTGAATTCACTATCTTCCAAGGCGATTGTGAAGCGACAGTAGCCTGCAATTCCGGTCCACAAGCCACTGTTGATGCACAAGCCCGTTGTCTTGGCGATGGCTTCCCTCAGAGATGCGTCATCTAGCTTAATTTCATCCATTTCACCACCGCCTGTGTGTTTAAGTGATTGGTTGAGCTTGACAGCCCTGCCGAGGAAAGAGGGCTTAGCCACCATTGAAATACCACCACATGGTCTAAGCACACTCCATCCACAACTTTCAAGAACCTATTACAAGAATAGTAGCAAAGAGAACTGCTTAGGTTGAGAAAGATGCCACTCAAAACTAGCATTTAAACAATCCACTCAAGCACAGTAAATAAGACTATGCAAAGGCTAGGATAACTTGATTAGGCAGTAACTCGGCTGCAATTATAGAAAATCAGTTTAGTTACCGATGAAGACCTATTGCTTATTTCTAACAGTGGTAAGATTTACACCAAGTTAAGAGGCACAAAATATTCACAAAGGATAAGAGCTAGATAGAAGGCAGTATCACGAAAAAACCAAAGGAAAATGTGGTGCAGAGAAGAATCTGCCTAAATTCTGTTTGTCTTAGTTTATACAAAAATGCTCTATTTAGTCACAAGATTTTAACTAGTTTAGGAAAGAACCAAGTAAAAATATCTTATTATTATCATATCGTAAGCCCAAATATACTTAAATACATTAATTACTCTATCACAGATAACGAGAGAAAAGACCTTAGGCTGCAAGGAGGAGAAGTTACCTCTTTTAAACGCTTAGCTCTATTTTCCAGAATCCTTATTTGTTCCGTAACAACATCCAGCATGCCTCCTTTGTTCTCTCTCAGAGCCAGCAACCTCTTGATTGTATATTTATCCGTACAATGGGGTTTGCTTAAGCCAGGAAAGGTATGAAATGCTTCAATTAAAAGTGGTTCGGTTAGAGACAGAAAAGCAAATTTGAGTGCTCCACTAAGAAGTTTCAGAGACAGTCCTCCAAGCAGAGAAACACAGAAAGAGGGGTTGCCAGAGGAAGATAGTTTTGACAAATAACTCCCCAAATTCCAGCCACCCCAACCTCCATATTCGAATTCTAGCCCTGAGAATGAAGTATCAATCACCACTCTTGCACCAAATCTTGCGCATGCACTTAAAATGCTTTCCATCTCTTGGTTGCTGTAAAGCAAGCCAGTAGGGTTGATTGTTGGACCAGAAATATATACCCATGGCTTTTTCACAGTCTCAAGAGCTTGGTTGAGTATATGCTCTGTAAGCTTGAAGCCTTGATCAGAGTTTGTGGGGATATTTACAATGTTTGCTTTCAAAAATTTGGCAACAGAAACATAATTTCCATTTGAGCCAGCAGGAAAGCACATAGTTCCCCCTTCTTGAATGCAGCAAAGGACCAGCTTACTGAAAAGTGCTTGCAAGCAGTCGGAATATATAAATTCTGTGCCACTATCAGTTGGGAAGCCATATTCGGTCTTAACAAATTGTTTTATACTAGGAGTAACATCAATTTCAGATTCGGTCAGATTTTGCCGGGCAAAACTTTCGAAGATAGCAGCCTTAACTGGAGAAGGCACTGGAAGGAACCACTGATCCACATCCATATGTACAAGGGAGTGCCCATCATCAGAAATGGTTAATTCAGCATTATCAAGGACCGAGGTTGCAGAAGAAGCAAATCCAATCACATCAACTGATTCAGACTTTTCAGATCTCCTCTGTAGGAAGAAAAAGCTCCACCGATGAGAGATAATAGATTCAGAAATTACAAGGCATGGTTATAAATTTATGTAATAGGTGTAGTGGGGTGCAAGGCTGTGCGGGGAGTTTAATTTGTGCTATCCCTTTGGTTCCCTTCTCCTCTATTGCCAATTTGGTTTCAGGTAGGATGATGAACAGTTACACCATTCATGAATGTTCAATCAAATAAGTTCTCAGATAATCATAAATCAAAACTTTTTTCCCTGGGTACTCTCCAGGGCTATTACAAGCAAGCAAGGCTTAGCTCTTCCTTCATCAAGCTCAGCTCTGCTAAACCTAAAAGATCTTGAAAAATTCAAGATCAAGTTAAGCTTAATAAATTCTGTACTGTTTGCACTCGGTGCAGCTGAGTTAACTAGAATCTAATCTAAACACAAGCACTTGGCAAGTTCTTAGTCTATGCTAAACGACACATAATTAGTTATTTTGGGATAATATATTTAAAAAAATGCAGATGGCTCTAATCTACTATATCTACTTTTATTTGGTATTAATAATAAATCATGGTTAGAATTGTGCTAAAAACTAAAAGACGTCAAAATTTATAGGCTTATAGGAGTCAACAAGATAAATAAAACAACCTTATTAAGCTTGTCATGAGTGGCTTATACAGTTTGTTTTAAGAGCTTATCAAATTTTAACTCAGTTTATTAAATTGAGCCTGGATTCATCCAAACTCATTTATTAAGATTCACAGATGAATATAAACGAGCACCAGCCAAGCTTGCATACAAGTTTATCAATTAACAAACTATTTTTTAGTGCTTGCCTTTTTTTTATTGCTAAGAGATAAAAGAGTCTCAGTAACTTTTGTTGTCAAACTGAAATAAATCTATATATTTCACCAGTAAGCATTCTCAATAGAATAATGGTGTATCTCTTTTATATAGACTTAAGAATTAATTCACAAACCTCTGGATGTGGATGTCTGTCTGTAAGCTGAAAAGATAGAAGCTCATGAAAAATACAACCATAATAGTTCTGGCTAATCAATGATGTATTTCCTTCAAGTATTTCAACAGTTTTTGATAATGCCTTCAAGATGGTCTCTTCTTCTGAAATTATGAAGGCAACTTCTAAATCTGAATAAACCTGTTAAAAGGTTTTTCAGCAATAAATGAATGTAAGTAATGATAAACTAAAAAGGAAACTGAACAGATTGGAACTAATAGTAAATTTAATGGCTACTGAATTTAACCACATAAATGCAGAGACCCACTGTGACGAAACCTAGTTTCCTTAAAACATACCTGATTCTTTACCAGGCCACAAAGGATTGCTGCATGTGATGGCAAAGGAGTTCCCGATAGATATTTTAGTACCCCAATGGTACCTGGAAGGCTGGATAACTCAAAGTGATCAGATATGTCTAAGAAAAGACGAGACCCAACTTGTTTGGTGGCATATAATAGTTGCATAACGGCTGAACTAGTAACAGCCTCGAAATTTGCTATCCCAGTAACCACAACCTGTGGCTTCAACCTTTTTATAAGTTCTATCATTGAATCT